CACTTCGGTTTTTCTAGACCTTACACATTCGATAGGACTCCTTGGGCGGGTGATCAGCTCGTCGCAAGGCCTCTACCACTTATATTACTTAGCGGCCGAAATATCTCAGTTGGTATATCGAGAGGTTTCGGGGTTAATGACTGGGATTCGATTCTCGAAAGTGGCAAGAGATTTTGCTCTTCTCCACAGAGTCCGGAACAATTCTGGGGTCCGCTCAGCCGCTATCCAATGCCCAGGGGTGAAGTTTATCGCCCGTCTCCACCTAACACCGAGGTCAAGAACGGTGGAGCTATATCTCCGCTCCTTCACACGTTTTCATGTCTTGATGCTTAATTAATAAAGCACGGAGACAAGTTCACTTTTTGCGTTAATTATATGTATTACTTATGTTTACTTTTTTGCACTATATATTGTGACATGTTGCGCAACGGAGGACCCCTACCTCCCCAGTGGCGGGATGATGACTCGCCTATTACAAGAGCGCTAGGTTACCGCCGCTGGGGAGTTAGGGGTCCTCCGTTGCGCAACATGTCACACTGCTCCCTCCTTAAGGCTGTTTGTCCCGAATAGCCTAACGGTGCTTCCCCCGCTCCTTTTCTTTGGAGGCTGTTCTTGCAGCATCTTCTTTGTGTCCTTCTACTGTTTCTCTTCTCCCCGTTACTCTGCTCTCCAACCGCTACATCTTCCCCCTTTTTTTTATTAACACCTCACTTATTCCTGGATTTCTTGTATTTATATAAACGTGCGACATGTAATTAACGCAAATTCCTTTCACAATTTCAGGATAAAGTAAGCATGAATTGGTGTTACTTGCGCTGCTGTATCGGGTCACTTGTCCAGTGCCTTATCAGCACAGCCTGCAAATCTGCAACACTGCGACACGATTTTGCTGTTTGCTTACTTTGCGTAACGCTATATATTCGTACTCAGGTGGGGGGGGGCTTTCGGTTCAAATCTCGACCGTCACAACGTCTATCCAAACTGAGATGTCCGTGGTTTTCCTCAGTCCCTTCAGGACAATCCAGGAAGCGTACCTTGATTACACCACTTCTTATTATTTCCAAATTCGTCAGTTATCTCATCATTCGACAGTTCATGGGCATAGGCCAGATACCGGCAACGTCACGAACTGGAAGGATGAGTATGATGGAGAGTAAGGTAGGTACGTAAATTTCTCCCTGTACTTAATTAATTGCCGGTCACGGTAGCCGAGCGGTCTAAGGCATGCACCGTCTTCGCTCGCTTGGAAACCGGGATTGTGGGTTCGAATCCCACTCAGGGCATGGATGTTTGTGTGCGTTTTTCTGTGTTTGTGTACAGGTAGAGGCCTTGCGACGAACTGATCACCCGCCCAAGGAGTCCTCCCGAATGTGTAAGATCAAGAAAAACCGAAGTGGACGGAGAAGTTCATGGAGGTAGGCCTAGGCCCACTGGAGCTGTAGTGCCAAGGAAGAAAAAAACTTAATTAATCACTACTCCACGAAGGCGTGGCACTAGAATCAGATGAGTGGTCAGCTTCACATGCTGGCTGCTTTACCCCCGGAGAAAGGGTCCCCTATACTCCTCAGATAAGAGACTGGGTGGACAACAGAGCTGGTTTGGACGTTATGAAAAAGATCAAAATACCTTGCAACTTCCGGAAATCGAGCCTCAGCCTTCCAGCCCGTAGTCCATCGCTATATTGACTGAGCTATCCGAGCTCTTACAGAAATATTCACAATACAGTTAGATAGTGCAGCAGTTGTAATAATTTCCGATGCATAAGAACTAAACACTTCACAGTACTTGGTTGGAAAGCCGAAGGAAAGTTACCACTAGGAAGACTACCTTAGAAATATAGGATGGGGTGATATAGATTGGATTCATCTGGCTCAGGATAAGGACCAGTATAAGTCTCTTGTGAACATGGTTTGGAAACAGTATCGAAAAGAAACCGCTTTAAATAAAATTTCAAACGAAGAATAATCGAAAAGTCACGCCTGTCATATTGTCATGGGCTTAAATAAAATGATACAGCCCTTGACTAGGTCAAGGCCATGCGAGCAACTGTGCCTTCAACTGATTCAGCTTTATCACACGTATTCATTTTTATCGAAGCTGTTAAATTGAATGCTCTTTTGTGTGCAAAGCAAATCAAGCATTGTGTGACGTGCGTGATTATCTGATTGCTCTTCTGTATAAACAAACAGAGGTCACCCAGAACTGCGTGTCTGTCTACAGCGCTTAGGAGTCTAGCCATATTACAGATATACAGTGCGTTCAGTTAAGGAGGAAACTTCGCAACACCGCTGACCCGGCCCAACATTCCTCACAGATTGCTACTGTAACTGCTGATAGCAGAATGAGTCATTAGCGCTGATAAACTCACGCCGTTACAGTTACAGCAGCAATCTGTGAGGAATGTTGGGCCGGGTCAGCGGTGTTGCGAAGTTTCCTCCTTGGTTGAACGCCCTGTACTTACCAGATGACATTCCGATAATATTAAATAACGAACAGCAATTACTGATTAATAAATTCATCAAGTTTTGAAAGCAGTATCACTGCTTCTGTGATTTGGTAATCAGTCAAATACTTCGATGTTCGTAAGCAGCAAAGTTCCTAGTCAAAGACGAACTCCTAAATTTCAATTTCAACTTGATAATGTCTCTCTTCCGTGATTTTTACACATTTCAGAGAACAGTAGACCAATTCTTGAATAATCAACAGGGGAAAAATTGAAGACACTAGGAGAACCACTTCTAAGGAGAATATTACATGAAATCTCCGCGGTAGTAAGACAGAGTCTAACCTTCTGAAGTAAGGACCTAGCCGCGCTAGGCAGCAGAATAGACAGTCCTTTGACAACCCTACCTGGACGAACTCTTCCGTTAAGAAGCTATAGCAATTAGGTAGAAAGAACAGATGACTATCTTCGGCCTAAGTCTGCAGCATTACGGTGGGTGGATATCAGTCTCCCATATATTGAGCCAAAGGGTGATTTGTCGACTTAAGACAGGAGTGGCCTCGGTTTCCTCCTAGACTGCTCGTCATAGGTCAGTGGATATTACAATTACAATACAATTGACTGTAATTCAAAGAAATGCTAATAAAACCAATCATCAAATCCAGAACCCATAATTATTCGTCACGCTGTTCGCGATTACGTAACGATATTTTAGTCGGAAATACGTCGTTCACATAAATTTATTTTTCACATCATTTTCATCGTCATAATTAACATGCTTATTAATAGCGGTAAAATAGTAGTTAAATTTGATTATATATTTTTATGTGCTAATCTGACAGTCACAGGAGCCAACGACAGAGTTAGCACATTCAAACAAATAAAAAGTGGAGGAAACAAAACAGACGTAGGACAGATTACAAATATACAGGATGTTCTCTGGTATAGGAAATTTTTCGGTAAACATAAATTTATAATGAGGCTCAATATAACAAAATATCGTAACTACTTTTTAACCAAATTAACCACAAAATTAATGCTCTGGAAATTATATTGAAACACACCGACATATCCCGTTTGGTGCTGCGCCGCTGCGAACGGGGCAGTCATTATGTGAAAACGAAGTGAAAAGATATTGGTCTCTCTGGTGTTTCCGACTGGAAATCTGATACCAGCAGCTTATAGCACAGAAGTGCACGTAATGGAACAGTTTTAATCTTTTTATAAAAATGTCTCAAAACAACGCCGTTTCACGAATAACGTGAGCAGTTTTAAGGTATCCAAAACTTGATTACAACTGTATGAATTGTGTTTTTTAAAGAATCATAAAGTAAGGTACAAAAAAGTCTATGGACATGATAATTAAAATCAATTTTGTTATATATGTGTGCCGAGACAATAGCTACAGGGCCGATTACGGACAGAGCACAATGTAGATTAAAATAATTACATTGTGGATAAACATAAAATAAAGCTAAAGACAAGTGAACACTGGAGTAAAAGAGACATTAATATAGAAAAAGTAAACAAGCAAACAATCGTTCGGTGTGTGTAAACCTTAGGTCTACAACTACAGGGGCAGGGTTAAGAACGTACAGCCAAAGGAGCATCAGACATGATAACTACACCTACACGCCTGGGAACTACACACAAACACCCATGCAGTTGCGCAAATAAATCCAAACACGGAGTACTCAGACAATGTCCTTTCGATGAACTGACGAGGACCCCAAGCGAAATATTGAAAATTTAACTAAATTTAACCAGATTTATTGGTTTTAATTAAATTTATTTTAAGCTAAGAGATATCGCATTCAAATGTGATATGAGAAGTTGGACATACCTTACAGTGCAACAATTTTAGTAACCTGATGATGGCAGTGTACGGCCGAAACATGTTGTGAAAAGGAAAATGGACAATAATAAGTTGCCTTGTAGACAGAAATATAATGTATGAAATAATTGATAGTGTAATGAAATAAAAAGAAGATAAAAAGGTAAAGCTATCCCTGTAACGGGCCATGCAGTCCCATAGGGTTGTGAGACGTTGAGGGTCCCACATTACCTAGAAAATCAGCTCACAGATGGCGGTAAGTCTTACGTGCCGGCCGCCCTTTACCCCCTCAGGAAAATTCCTGGTACTCATTTCTGTCAGAGGCTGAGTCGACAACAGGGCCATAGCGCGGCTGGAAGGATTAGGTAAATTGAAAAAATCCACCTCCTCGAGACTCGAACCCGCGACCTTCCGGCTTGTAGCATATTGTCTTAACCAACTACGCTACCGCGTGCCCCAGTATAGTGAAATAGGCTATGACAAAACTCATTTCTATCCTGTCCTTGGGTGACGAACAGTATCAAGTGCTGAGAGAGTATCGTTGAATAGCACATGGAGCACCCAACAGACGAATCTTTCTACGGAAAATGCCACTGACATCACTTGCGAGTGCTTGTTCTGTTCAAATTACAAGACACCTTCCCAGCACCAGACTCCGTCAGTTCTCATGCCTTTCGTATCACTTCCAAATGCACTATTATTCATAGCTGGTATTGACGTACGATATATATAAGCATTGTGTGTGCTTTACTAGTGTCATTGCAGCAGTGTACAGAGGACGCGGCAACCTGCCAATACTATTCCCAGGTACTCTGCTATCTCATTGCATTTTTTTTTATTGCTAGTGGGGTAGGACTAAGTCCCTTAAACTGAGGCCACTTCTGGCCTATTGTAACAGCCCCAGATGATAGGTGAGGGTGATTGTGGAGCAATTGGTGGAATGAAGATTGGCAGGGGAAACGAAGTAGTCGGAGAAAACCTGCCCCAGCGCCATTTATCTCATTAAGTCATTACATACTTACATGTATGTTCACGATTATCAGGATTCGTCGAGTTTTGCTTTGGATTGTGTGGATGTGGTGACATGTAGAATATGAAAGTTCCGAAGGAACCTGATATCTTCATGATCCGAAAAGTCGGTAACTATCAGTGAGTCTACATGGCGTCAAGTACCAACAAAAAACAGTCAAGATAAGCGATAGATTTTTGTAATACAATAAAACTTGGTTATAGCAACATCGGTTTCTGCGACACCTTGTCTATTGCGTCAAATATTCAATGGTACGAACTAATTCCTCATAAAGCAACTGTTTTTATACCTTGCTTAGTACGACATGCACAAATGCATCAACCTCGTATGTAACGTCATTTTCATTCCTGAATTTCTCTGATATGGACATTGAACGTAATTTAGAAAGTGTGTATTGGGCAAGTAAGAGGAAACAGATGAAGATAACTGATTACTGTACTCGTATCTAGGTACAGTAAGGCACAACAATTGATGTAATCTACTGTAATTTGGTGAGTAGGCCTACCTTTAATATACAGTATTAGTGCGGTGTGTATTGTCAGTGAAAAGCGCTGTAATATGTCTTTGATATTACACATTTGGGCAATTCCACGTTAATGTTACGTTAGTCTGTACTTAACTATGTTTTTCATAAAAAATGCAACATTTTAACTCGGTTTTTGGTAGATTTTTACGTGACTAACATAAGGCTACTGTGGAAGTGCCCATTTCGGTTACAACGACATTCGTTTATAACGACATTATTTTTAGGACCCTTTGATGACGTTGTAACCAAGTTCTACTGTATTTAGAATAAGTATATGCAGAACGTTTGAAGACTATGCTAGACGAATTAAACTGAAATGAAACCGTGTTTGCCCTGTGCGCAATCAGAACGTAACCGTATGTGGATGAAACTTTCTCATTAGGCCTATTATAAGATTCTAGTGAATTTGTATCAAACAGGAAGTTCCGAGAACTAGTAGCCTACTTTCTTTCGATACGACACGGACCATGTAGGAAATAACGCCTCCAACAATTCTTAATTGCCGAGGCAATAGACCCTCCTGTGATATGACGCAGACCGCATAGAAAAAGACGCGTGCAACAAATTTTCTATTGTTGCGTGTATTCGTTGCCCCGGGAAAGCGTTTACAGAGCCTTGCATAGCAACACTAGGGGGGATTCGTGAATGACACCGCTGAGGTGCGCTCATGTGCCATGATGTACATTATCAAGTTTCATGAAGATTGGTTCAGACATTCAGAGGTTGTTACGAATGGCACACATGTAGTCGCATAGACAGTAATGTGATTTCATAAGCCTACATTTATTTTTTAAATAAGGAAAGTAGATCAAAGATAAGCACAACCTTTTCCAGACCCATGTTCAACTTGCACAAATATCTTACCTAGAGTTGTCGAGAAGTTGATATTATGATGAAACCTGAAGTTTTGTTAACGTAGGCCCTATACCTTGAATCCTGTGGCAAAGTCACCCTGCCGAGTCCATAACCCGCTTTAGTATATCGCAGTGTGTGCACTTCTTGCTGCTGGGAAGACTTCTACATGACGGACACTACTTCAAAACTACCTAGGACTCCGCAGTCTATTTATTTTAATACGAGTACAGCTTCCCTTTGTAAGTAATAATACACCTAAGAGATAACCAAGCTAAATCAATATCTTTATTTCATTGTTAATTCCTCAACTTCTGCACATTACATTCCTCACGAAGCGGTGTTCTTAATCGTATTAAAGGTACATACAAAATAATGTGCACAAAATAATGGAAACACTAAGAACTTGAGGAATAGAATATGTGTTGGCTACATTGAAAGAACTTAGTTGGCAACACCGAATTTTTTTAATTCGTCTGTTTACATTCTGTAGTGCACGTGTCAGTGCATTAATGATTGTGATGAGTGACGATCCGTGTGAAAGAACCGGAAAATAGGAGACTTGCCCGATTTCGAAAGAGGACAGATCGTTGTTGCGCATTTATACCCGGGGACAAGACCTATTTCATAAATACCCAAACGCAATAGACGTACTCGTTCACTTTACAGCATAGGTGGAAGGAAGCCTCGTCAGAGAAAGAACTTGGATAACGTGGTTATTTCCAACTTTACTAGAATAAAGTGTGCCAAATCACAAATTATCATTTCCCGATTAGTGAGTCAGAAAAGAGGGGCCCATTTCGCGGCCACACAGATTATTGGAGCTCACTGAAATATAGCTCAGTTTGTTGGAGTTCATGATGAAAATCGTGTAAAAGGAGAAGGTGTAAGATATCCGCAAACTAAATGAATTCATGAAGCATTCAATGTGGCAGATAACATGTAACACGCTGGAAATTCCTTGACAGGAGCTCCAATATCGTTTTCAGGTTTTTCGATCAAAAAGAAGTTATACCGAACATTGTTCTGAGCGTGCAGGGTTTCTTTAAAATAATTTGAAACCTCTATAACAATAACACCAAGGGGCACGCGGTAGCGTAGTTGGTTGAGGCACTATGCTACAAGCCGGAAGGTCACGGGTTCAAGTCCCGATGAGGTGGATTTTTCAATTCACCTAATACTTCCATCAGCACTATGGCCCTGGGATTGACTCAGCCTCTAATAAAAATGAGTATCAGGAATATTCTTGGGGGTAAAGGGAGACCGGTGCGTAAGGCTGACAACCTTGCCGCCATCTATGAGCAGATTATCTAGAAAATGTGGGAACCTCAACGTCTTACAACTTTATGGGCCTCCACGGCCTGTTACAAGGATACCTTTACTTTTATCTTTGCTTTTATAACAATAACACCAGGGAATTTATTATTATTTCATTTCTAGGTAACAATAACCCAGAAAATTAAATGCGATTCTCATAATCGACTGAAGAGTTGAACATTTTGAGATGTTTACGATTCTTAGTTATTCCAGGACAGTTTATGGATAACATTCAAATAAACAACCGCGATTTCTGTAGTTGCTTTGATGACATTAAATCCAAATATGTCATCCCCAAACACTTCGTATAAGAAATTCTACAGGAAGACTGTAGATGAACGTAAATTTAGAGACAAATGCAGAAGACGTACATGTAACTCATGATCCTTACTAACATATATAGTACATCATATCCTGGATTCCACAAATAATACCCTAAACGGGAAAGTTTAATTCATATAATTTTCCATCCTGTTACAGGTCACGTACGCATTAGCAATACAATTGCCGTGAAATGGCCGCCATAATTAACGCAGCCTACAACGTCTTTCGCCACGTGTTCTATGATCTCAGAGGTAAGGTTGTGAAAACATTCCCAGTATGCACAGGAAATATAATTCGAAGTTATTGCTGTAATTAAATATATCATCATGCAATTGGAGATGCATTTGAGTCCTTTGGGCGCACTTCATAGACCCTTCATATCCTGCAGGCCCTAACCATATGTGTTTATACCATTTGAGCTATGGCAATATCAGCAATTTCTATTAAATATTGTTTCTTGCTGGGATGCTTTATCTTTCGAGCGACGACTGGTTCTTCTTTATGTAGCGGGAAAATTTGCTGATCGACTGATCACATTTTGCATAGCAATATATCTTAAAAATCACAGGTTCCTCTTGCGTAAGGGACCACTTCAGAAACAACTATCACCATGTTCAGGGTCACTTTAGCAAAATATATATTACGCTTATAACTTCATTCGGTTTCCAAAGGTCAGCTTTTCGAAATGGGCCAAACTGAGAAGGAACTTTCCTCCATTATATTTCTTGACAGAAATAAATCCAGTTTTCGAAACGTCTCGTCGAAGACACTCAAGACGATGGGAAAGAATCCATTAATAGCGGTCATGAGCATGGCGATTTTGATGGAGACTGGAATCAGTTATGTACTTCAAAAATTTGAAGGACTGCTGGTTCCACTTTGTGTATCAGACCAGAACGTGCTGAAGGATTGCTGGTTCCAGTGTGTGTATATCAGACCAGAACGTGCTGAAGGATTGCTGGTTCCACTTTGTGTATCAGACCAGAACGTGCTGAAGGATTGCTGGTTCCACTCTGTGTATCAGACCAGAACGTGCTGAAGGATTGCTGGTTCCACTCTATTAATAAGACCAGAACATGCTGAAGGATTGTTGGTTTCACTCTGCGGATCAGACCAGAACGTACTGAAGGATTGTTGGTTCCACTCCGTGTATCAGACCAGAACGTGCTGAAGGATTGCTGGTTCCTCTCTGTGTATCAGACAAGAACGTGCTGAAGGTTTGTTGGTTCCACTCTGTGTATCAGACCAGAACGTGCTGAAGGATTACTGGTTTCACTCTGCATATCAGATCAGAATATGCTGAAGGTTTGTTGGTTCCACTCTGTGTATCAGACCAGAACGTGCTGAAGGATTACTGGTTTCACTCTGCATATCAGATCAGAATATGCTGAAGGTTTGTTGGTTCCACTCTGTGTATCAGACCAGAACGTGCTGAAGGATTGCTGGTTTCACTCTGTTAATCAGACCAGAACATGCTGAAAGTTTGTTGGTTCCACTCTGTGTATCAGACCAGAACGTGCTGAAGGATTGCTGGTTTCACTCTGTTAATCAGAACAGAACATGCTGAAGGATTGCTGGTTCTACTCTGTTAATCAGACCAGAACATGCTGAAAGTTTGTTGGTTCCACTCTGTGTATCAGACCAGAAGGTGCTGAAGGATTACTGGTTTCACTCTGCATATCAGATCAGAACATGCTGAAGGTTTGTTGGTTCCACTCTGTGTATCAGACCAGAATGTGCTGAATATATTCAGAAACCAATCAGGCACATAAAAATTACTTAATACAACATCGGGTTTTCTGTTTCAGACACGAGAAGTGACGACTGGTTCCTGATGAATTCTGTATGGGCGCCTCTATCCATTATAGCGTTCTACCTTTATTTTGTTTTGAGTCTTGGTCCGCGGCTAATGAAGAATCGTCCTTCGATGAAACTGGATAAGGTTATTAAAATATATGACATAGCGCAGGTCATTTTATGCACTTACATCACAGAAAGGGTAAGTATTAGTACTCTGTATTCATGAGTTACTTATAATAAAATCAAACAAAATCAAACTCCGTGATTTTAGTCCTAGCTGTTAGTAAATATTATGATGCCCAGGGAACCGAATTGTTTGTCCCTGAGTTTGAAAAATTCGCTTCAAGGGGCCCTTTATTGAATCAGATAAAACCATTCTATAATTCAGTTTCAATCTTTTCTTTCCCCATCTATGATATGCTTCCGAATTTATTTTCTTTCTTGAGTCGTTTCAGGCTTCCGAAAAAAATATGATTTCGGAAACAATTCTTGACATTTTTGCCTCCAACTTTATCACTGAGACACACAGGTTCATATTCTTCAGGCTCGGTACCTAGACCGGGTATCGATGGTTAGGATAACAAAATAATAAGCTAGATAAACATAGAATGAGTGGGGTTCATGTCAGACAAGAAACGTAGTAAGTAATAATGAAAGACGGAAGGACACAAATCAAGTCACAAGTTTTTTTGTAATTCACGCTGTAGCGTAGTTGGTTGAGGGTCTATGCTACAAGCCGGAAGGTCGCGGGTTCAAGTCCATATGAGGTCATTGGATTTTTTCAATTGACCTAATCCTACAAGCCGCACTATGGTCCTGGGGTCGACTAAACATCTAACAGAAATGAGTACCAGGAATCTTCCTGGGGAGTAAAACGCGGCCGGCGCGTAAGGCTGACAACCTTACCGCCATCTTTGAGCCGACTGTCTAGACAATGTGGGAACCTCAACGTATCACAATCCTATGGGCCTTCACGGACTATTACAGGGATAGCTCTACTTCTTTATTATATGTTTTCCTGTGACACGCCATTGTAGAAGCGATAAATGCAAGTAAGAAGATTTTATTGGTAAAAGCCAAAGATTTAGGGATTTAAAGGTCAGAACACGGACAGCGTTTTTAATAGTATATTGCATTTTACAGATGAAGAGACCGAGCAGCTGTTGTACGAGTATATTTTGAAAGAAGTGGCATATAAACAGCCGCTATCTTTTACGTTTATAGAAATTTGGTAAATGTTTTCCACAATACTGCAGTTTCCTCCTGTTACAGTCCTTGACAGTGGGATGGGCGCGCAGATACAGGTGGTTCTGTGAGCCGGTAGACTACTCGAACTCTCTGCAAGCTTACTTGGTAAGTCATGGCACTTCATTCACGACAAACAGCTTACCACACAGCAGTCACGCTAAGTATTATGACACTCGAATTTGTCCTTGTTTTTAACTAACAAAGCAATACGTTACGAAGGCGTATGGGGGAGTGGATTTATAGATCTACATTTTCTTGATCTCGGGTAAGGTGGAAATGATGGTCATCTTGACGCACCAGCTGCTTTACACTCGGGGAAGAGCCTCTGGTACCCATTGCCTAGGAGTTTGGGTGGACCCCAGAGGCGGTCTGGACGACGTGGAGAAGAGAAAATTCTTCACCCTACTAGGACATGTACTCCAACCTCATGGTCGTCCAGCCCGTAGCCAGTCGCTATACCGACTGCGCTATCCCGGCTCCTAATATGCAGATCACACCAAATGTATTTCTATTTAATTTAACTCACTTTGTTCTAACCTTGGTCAAATGGTATGAATACTAAAACAATGAGACTGTACAACAATGCACACAAGTAACATCTCGCGCTTCTCATGTCTGTGTTCCAGGACATGAAGACAGTATATACTTATCTTCTGGTTAAGTTGTTCGACCTTCTGGATACGGTAAGTAAGTTACATTTCTCCGAAACATACCTGATCATGTTCCAATTTAAACTTCAAAATAAGTTATTCCCACGCTTTCCACGGAAATCAAACTCTCGCCCTTTACCCTAAATGAGGCATCCTTTTACCTAGAGTAAACTAAACATTTTGGCCGCGCCATAGCTCAAGCGGTTAGTCGCTGGCTTCCCACCGCGGGGGCAAGGGTTCGATCCCGGGTCTGGTCAATTGGGATTTGTGGTGGACAAAGTGGTGCTGGGGCGGGTTTTCTCCAAGTACTTCGGTTTCCCCTGTCAATCTCCAGTCCACCAATTGCTCCACAATCACCCTCAGCTATCATCTGGGGCTGGTACAATAGGCCAGAAGTGGCCTCAGTACAAGGGACTTAGTCCCACCCCACTAGCAATAAAAAAAAAAGAACTGAACACTTAGTTGACATAATAGTCGTTTTGAAGCATGGAGTTAAATAATTTTAAGTCACACTTTCAAAGGCGCTGTAGACGACGGCAACGTCGAAATACCCTATACAGATCTGATTATCTTCAGTGCAAGCAGAAGTTTTGCAATATTAGAAGCTCTTATTGGCGTTAGTGGCGGTTTTTTTCATATAGGCCTACTTCTCCGTTCACTTCGGTTTTTCTAGACCTTACACATTCGGTAGGACTCCTTGGGTGGGTGATCAGCTCGTCGCAAGGCCTCTACCTGTACACAAACACAGAAAAACGCACACAAACATCCATGCCCTGAGTAGGATTCGAACCCACGAACCCGGCTTCCAAGCGAGCGAAGACAATGCATGCCTTAGACCGCTCGGCTACCGTGACTGGCCTTCCTTCTGGTTACTAGCCTTTCATTAGGTGACTCTTGCATTAGTTAGCCATGTTTCTGCAATTACTGCAGATTTCCGTAAGATAGAATGAGAAGAGGGGATGTAGTGTAATCACGAATGGAGATAAAATTGGAGGAGAAAAAAACAAACAAGCTCCGTGGTTTTAGTCCGAAAGCGAAATATACCGACCGAGCGACCGCCACTTGTCGGCGAAGTTAGTGCCAACTTTAACGGATAGAGGGTGTCGCGTGGTCAGGGCAACGAATCTCGGATTTCTAGACCGGAAAATGGGAGGAGATAGTTTTAATATATTACCGAGTATTCTCGGCATAATCGCCTTAAGAGACGAAATAAGGTATGTGAAAGCTGAGATAGGATACCTGGCACCCAAGCGAGGTTTGGATTGGGTCACACACAAATCTAAACCTTCTATATAATACCGTCATATTGTGTTGCATTACATTCAATTCTTCGACTTCCAAAAAACACAGTTTTATTTACATATACTATGCGCTAACAGTTCATAACACGTTTCACTCCATGTAAACAGAAAGCGGATGAATTAAAATATGATAGCCGAAAGGCTGAAATATGTAGTACACTTTTAGAGGTCAGAGTTCCTGGCTCCAGATCCAGAGGTCCCGGTTTCGATTCCCGGCGCTACCAGATTTTCTGAGAAGTAGTGGGTCTGGAACGGGGTCCAGTCAACCTCGTGAGGATAATTGATGAGCTATTTTAAGGAAATAGCGGCTCCGGTCTAGAAAATCAGGATTAACTACCGTGAGGATCCGTTGTGCTGATCACGTGACACCCTCTATATGCAAACGTTGGTACTAACTCCGTCGAAAAATGGCGGTCGCTCGGTCGGTATAGTTCATTTGCGGACTACAGGACTACTAAAAATAACAAAATTAAATTGTATCCATGACCGTGCTTCGTGTATTATAATTTCTCTTGCAGGTATTTTTCGTGCTACGAAAGAGAGATAATCAAGTGTCATTTTTGCATGTGTATCACCACGTGGGTGTCTTCCTTGGTACCTGGGTCATCATGAAATTCTTACCAGGTAAGTAAGCTTTAATTCACAGCCGCCATTTTCACGAAGCAATCAAATACTTATACACATCTGGAGAAGAAAGTAAAGCCATTGTTTTAATTTGTAACCTCAGAAATTAAAACAAAACATATTTGTTCTAAAGGACGAAACAAAAGAAAACAATCGTATAGCGCAATTTTGATAATCAGAATATAATCTTGAACAAGCTCCGCTTCAGTCGCTACTAATTTAGAAATTTTGAGGAAAATACGCAGTAATAAGCTAATTATGTGTTCTATTTCTGAACATTCCCTTATACACGTATATAATGACAAAGATTGGTTTCTCTGAATGTGTGAGTGTCCATAACAATCAATTTAAAAAAATGGGACATTTTATGACTATTCAATTTAACATTACTGTACCTAAACCACTCAATTATCATGCCTATTACCAGCAACGTAAAGTAAACTATGCATGGTGGCAACATTGGCGTTGCGAAGTTCTGAATTGTATGTTATGACAGATTTCTGAACAGAAGATACATAAATTTGATTTATACATAATTTAATATCTCTCTCCGGCTGCGTGAAAAATGTATTTGCATGAAATATCTTCGCCCTCTCGAACACTGGGATCGTGGGTTCAAATCACATTCAAAGCATAGATATCTGTACGTGCCTTTATTCTGTGTTTGTGTCGTCCTACGTAGAAAGCGGCATTGTTACGGGCTGATTCCCCTTCCAAGGAGTCCTACCGACTCTCTGGGGTTAAGAAACTGAAGTGAAACGTAGCGTTTCGCGGGTGCCCCGTGCTCCAGATGGGAGCAGCAGGAATAAGGATAGATAGATAGATAGATAGATAGATAGATAGATAGATAGGTAGGTAGGTAGGTAGATAGATAGATAGATAGATATAACGACCGCCGTTACTCGCCGTACAACGGCTTTGCTATCTGGGTAAGAAATTACCCGTAGTCTCTGTCGTAGTCAGCTCATCTCTTGCACATTTTCGCATCCCAAAGTTTTTATCACTGCTACCGTATTTTGAAGGTTGCTATAGCAATGAGCAATTCGCCAAAGAAGTTCATTACTTTTATAAAATGTTTCTATTGCATTTAAAAGTAGAAGTAAAGGTATCTCTGTAAGAGGCCGTGGAGGCCCATAAGGTTGTGAGATGTTGAAGTTCCCACATTTTCTAGACAATCGGCTCATAGATGGCAGCAAAGTTGTCAGCCCTACGCGCCGGCCGCCCTTTACCCCCAAGAATAGTCCTGGCACTCATTTCTGTTAGAGGCTAAGTCAACCCCAGCGCCATAGTGCGGCTGGAAGGATTAGGTCAATTGAAAAAATCCAATGACCTCATCAGGACTTGCACCGGCGACCTTCCTGCTTGTAGCATAGTGCCTCAACCAACTACGCTACCGCATGCCCCCTTCTATTTCATTTTTAGAAATGAAATAATAATCCCAATTTACTGCAAGAAATTTGTTCGTCCCAGAAATACGAAATATCTTCCCTTCTTCAGCATCAATTGGAAACGTGCGGCTGCAGAAGATAATATACAAAAATATCGGTAACGCATTGCTAAGCAACGGCTCGATAAAACGAGCTAAAAGCCGGAATAGTGGAGCCACAGAAGGAACTAGTAATTTTGTTAGGCAAGGGATCATGCACGTTTCCAAACGCATTCATGAAGAGCAGTACCGGAAGCTTTGGAGGCTATGATCTATATTCGGTTCTCCGGAAGCTGTGAAGGGAGGTCAGACCATACAAGAGGAAGTAGTCATGTGAGAATTGAGAATGCAGCCGGAGATGTTATTCCATATGTGTAAATGTAAATCAACATCTATAAATCCATTCAGCCAATCTACAAGCCGTCATTTTCGTCACGCGTACCCCTTCCATGTGACAATACAAAATACATACCCCTTCTATACTTTATTTATTGAAATATGGTCACTCTAGTTTACTACCTAGTGAATACCACGGTGTTTGCAAATGACGTGACCAAGTGCTGCCACATATAAATAAATTTTTCGAATGAATTTGATTCGGTACATTTTGGAAATAAGCTCCACAAATGTTTAATCTTTTCCTTGTTTCACAATTTTGACTCCTGTATGAAATGTAAAGTCAAGAATCTCTTGAATTCTAGGAGGACACGGGACATTTCTTGGAACTGTCAACTCCATCGTACATGTTGTTATGTATACCTACTACTTCGTAACAAACACTTGGCCAGAATACAAGAAGAACATCTGGTGGAAGAAATATGTGACTCAGCTGCAAATGGTAAGTCAGTCTCCTCATATTCTACATGCCGCGTTCTTAGTCTGCTGAAAGAAATTTCAGCGAATACACTCACTTTCGACTTTTTTTATTCACTTAGTGGGGGTGGAGTCCAATTGGGTCACCTCGGCACGGCGGCCACTGATTGGCCTATTGTAGCTTGCCCCGGGTGATTATGATGATGGAGAACCAAATGCTCCCACCCCACGAAATTTTGATCGATTATTTACTACAAATATGAAAGGGAGAAAAGGATATATTTCAGAAAAGGAAACCAAAGAGTGATTCAGAAACGATCCTACTTCATTCAGAACCATAGAGGCAGCGTTGCTTTGGAGGAAGACAGAATGGGAGCAGGGTAACGTCGGAACAAGCTACTAGGGTTCATAGAGCCAGAACCGGAAGGCAGCTGGAGTAGTGCAATCCACACGCACGGGGCACGAAGTGACGACCATCAGCATTAAGGCTGAACTGTCTCAAGAGAGGTTATTGGCAAGAATCGGATATGGAAACTTCACAGCTGTCGCAATCGGCAAAGCACTGCTGTTATGGAGCAGACTGGGTCGAGGTTGTGAATTGTAAGCATAGACTGACGAACCGTGAAGGCGACTGTAAAAGGGCAGCACTTGAAACACGTCCTTGTGACATACATTGCTGATAAGACAGTTCCAAGATAAACACACACCCATTCTTGTCGGTTCATGAATAATTATTGTCTAAAAATTACTTATCTACTTAAAGGTTGTACAAATAGCTTAAGTTGAGAGTCCTGATATATGTATGTGGACTTATTTTTATATTTCCTTATGTGTGACCACTGTGTTTCTGTGTGAAGACTTCAGTTGTACTGTACTCGTTTTTATATTTATAAGAGTTTGACATATTCCACTTCCCACAGCCATTGAACTAACTTCGGACCCGAGGAATGCAACGTAATGCAGATATAAAAGAACACGGAAATAAAAACCTACGCGAAATTTCGAAGGAGAGAAATGTAACCGACCTATAAAATTGCACCGGTGGAGGGTACAATAGGGTACCATATCGCCACGTGTTGTCATTTGTCCCAAGTCTAAGAAGACAGCGACAAGGTGATGATCTATGAAAGAAGAAATGTGTGTATTGTGATCCAGGGCGGAAAGGTGGTTAAGAAGGGGCCTGTAGCGTTATGACCCACACTCAGCATTCAAAAGAAGATTTCTGCTCTACAAAATTCAGACATCTGGACGGTTTGAAAACAACTATATGACTACTAAGCCCACGATATGTAGCGAGACAGCGATCCCTACGTACCTCGAAATAAGAATTATCATAGTTTCTCTCCAGACAGTTGCGAAAGTGTTCTGTGATCATAAACGAGTGCGATGGACAGTGGAATATTCTTGTCTCTGTGAGGAAGGTTATGAGCACGGGAGGGACCTTGGGACGTTTTACAACAGGGATCTATGGCCTCGAGAACTCCGTCCATACGAAACAGCTCTGAGAGCCGAGAGGCGGGATATAGCGGGGTTGCTCCCCAGATGTCTCTAAGAAGTTTGTATGCAGGCTTATGTCTCTAATAACTGAAGGCATGCGAAAAGTAAGATACAAGTTTATTGACATGTCCATCTCGGATATAATTTTATTGTCACGTTTTAGGGACTAGACACGCGCGAGCTTTGGATTGATAACTGCATTTATTCAACGATTATAACTCTAATTACACATAATTATAAAGCTTTCACTAATCTACACACTATACTAATCACTATAGCAGACGCTATATCTTCTCTGTCTCCATTAGTTTTTGCTTGGTAACGGCGTCTAACAATGCAACTCTACTCCCGAATGGTAGCGTCCAGTTCCGACCTCCGACTTCAGGATCATGATTGACTGACTGACTGACTGACTGACTGGCAAATTGCTGTTAGTCATCGCCAGCACAATGATCCTTGATTCCCGAGTTCCATGGGACTCATGATTATATTTTATTTTCTGATGGCTCTGAGAGCCTTCAGATCGCCTATGTCCGTCAATTTGACTGGTGTCTTCGTTATATAAACTCGGCCCGGACGCATAGAAAACATTGCGTCCATGAACTCATTTGTTGTTGAATGACCTGTTAAGAGAGATTTTGCCCAGCGATTGCCTCATTATTGAAACAGGATCGTGTTTACGTCGCAATGGAAATATTAACCTGCCGTTGCCTACCAATGGATTCCTTTTTGGGTCCTCTATTTCGGATTTCAGCCATCGTGTCGCAGCAGTAACGCTAACAGATATGTCAAGCATAGGCGTACGATTTCATTTACGCGATATGCGACACAGTTTGAGATCGGATATCTGAATGTGTAAACTGCGAGTAAACTGCGAACAAGGTCTCCCCAATACGCACGCTTCTCCTTGAAAGAAGTAGAGACAGCACCGAGAAAGCGAAAATAGGAAAAAAGCCTGTTGGTGAGATAAGAGTGTAAATAACCGAAATTGACAGTAATATCAACGAAACAAATAACCTTCGGAAGGAAAAATTGCTGTGATAAGCACAAACAGGCATGTGCAGACTTCGTGTATGTTGGGCCGCGCCATAGCTCAATCGGTTAGTCGCTGGCTTCCCACCGCCGCGGCCCGGGTTCGATCCCAGGTCTCGTCAAGTGGGATTTGTAGTCGACAAAGTGGGGGCAGGGTTTCTCCGAGTACATCGGTTTCCCCTGACAATCTTCATTCCACCATTGCTCCACAATCACCCTAACCTATCATCTGGGGCTGGTACAATAGACCAGAAGTGGCCGCAGAACAAGGCACTTAGTCCCACCCCACTAGCAATAAAAAAAAGGGTATTTTGGTTGTGGGGAAGATGTAAAGGGGGTCAGCTAGGAAAATGAAAGAGACTAGCATAGAACGCAGGGTGACACATGAAAATGGTAGTAGGCTAAACCCGGGAAAGAGCAAGCTAGGGAGCATCCTTGGCATCCTCCAGCCAGGATTTGGCCAGTATGTTCCGACGGGAGTTCATTGTAACCTTGAAGACGACTAAGGCACAACAAGACTCTGTTCCTTACAGGAGATCGTGCGTGTAAAGGAATTTGTTTTTCAGGCCTTCTTACTTAAGATAAGCATGGAAACAATTGGACTCAATAAAGCACACGAAACTGTGAGGTTATGAGCCCAAGGGCAACCCAAATGCAAAAATTACTCTTCATTCTGAGAAAGATTACCCTGGTATACTGGACATCATTCGTTTCTAAAAAAAAATAACATATTTCATTATCTTTGAACAGAAAATTGTATGGGGAAAAATATGTTTGCTATAACTTGAACACCTTTCTTTTTCCTCAGACAAGGATGTCGAATTATTTAGTCACAATATAATGCTTAGAAGCATTTGGCACATATGTCCAATGAAAAAATATCTAGAGGCTTCGAAAGCTCAAGGACCAATGAGAATTGTCTTCCTTTAACAGTGCGGAAATTTCTTCTCCATTTATGAGTCACTGATTTGTTTATTTATTTACCTTGTTTTATTTTATGGACTTATATATCACAATTTTCTTGTTAATAATTAAATTTATTTGAAATACTATTGTAATTACGGTACATAGTGTCGGAGACTGAATATCTTTTAGCACTCCTTTTAAACAGAAAGGATTTGTGTTCATGTACAGGGACACGTCAGACAGGGATATGATCACAGCAAGCTTCACTCCCAAAATTCACTGTTTACATTATCATTTCTGTCATTTGAACCTTGTTGCAGGCCCAGTTCCTGTTAGTGGCACTGCACGCCGCTCCAGTGCTGTTCATTAAGAACTGCGACTACCCGAGAGCCATCGCAGGATTTATGGCGTTTCAGTACTCCTTCATGTTCCTTCTCTTCTGGGACTTCTACAAGAAGGCGTACAGGAAAAAGACCGAGTAACCTGCACTGCACAGCCAATCGCGCCATTGCCGTCTTCGCTGTCAGGATTGAGCGACCCCCACATCGAGATGAAATTGAAGCAATTTGTGGAAATATCACAAGAGAATTGAAGAAATGTGATAATTTCACGGATTATGTAATTATCTTATGTCAAATGCTGAGTTGTTTAGAGCCGCACTAAGATTGTAGCCAGTGAATCGTACAGTGAACTAGAGCTGTCATTTAGATCTACAGGCCAAATTTGTAAACTGAAAAAATTAAAGTAACTTAAGTTATTTTCTTTATAAATTTTAAACCAGTACATATTTCTAATACCAATTTTTTTTAATATTTCATAAGTCCTGGCCTTGTACATGTTGGTTATTTTAATTTTAGAATGTACTGTTCAAATATAGTTTGTAGTTTTGTCTATAACTTCTCGAATCTGATCGAGAAGTAAATGCATATGTAGGTTGGCCACATTTTGTAATTAACTGTATTAAAACTGATAAAACAAAGTTTCTTATCTTTTAGGTGCCTTTTTTCATACTAAAATTCAGTATTACACTTTAAGTGAAGATTGTTCAATCTGAGAAGTTCAGACTCTGCCATTTTCAAGGTGCGGTGAGTGGAGATAAAGTGACTTATAAAGACATGACATTCGTACAGAACTTATTTAAATTGGCGAACTGATTCATAAGTTATAAGTTAGCTGTAGATTGCCGTACTACTACAATAAGTATTTTTATTGCTAGTGGGGTGGGAATAAGTCGCTTGTACTGCAGCCACTTCTGGTCTAATGTACCAGCCCCAGATGATAGGTGAGGGTGATTGTGGACCAATTGGTGGAATGAAGACTGGCAGGGGAAACCGAAGTACTCGGAGAAAACCTGCCCCAGAGCCACTTTTTCCACCACGAATCCCACTTGACCATACCCAGAATCGAACCCGGGCCTCCGCAGTGGGAAGCCAGCGACTAACCGCTTGAGCTACGGCGCGTCCTGCTATTGATAAAGCCAGAAGTTCTCAGTAAAAGCACCTATACAGAAAGGCCGATCCCTCCTCAAGTCGAAGAAGATATCCTGTTGCCTAGCAGCGATGGGAGGGGGTTCACAGACACAGAAACAGGAAGGAGGTCGCATAGGATAACAGGCTAACTGCCTAATTTTGAAAGGTTCGGGGTTGCGTTCCAACAGTCGTTATTAATCTTAAAATGAAGAACTGACAGTAAATATGTCACTATGAAGAAAAGTCGCCTGACGAAAAGCATGGAGCCAATTGTAGAAATACAGATACTATGCACTGAAAAATATCCGACGTAATATTGCCGCAATTTTCATAATTTATGGGCGTTTACATCATTTTATATGATTTGTCAACTTAGTATGGGGGCACACGGTAGAGTACTTGGTTAAAGCACTATGCCACAAGACGGAAATTAGCCGGATCTATTCCCGACGGGGTCACTGGATTATATAAATTTATCTAATCCTTCCAGCCGCAGTATGGCCCTGGGGTCGACTCAACCACAAACAGATATGAGTACCAGGATTCTTCCTGGGGATAAAGTGCGGCCGGGGCCTAAAGTCGACAAACTTACAGCCATCTCTGAGCCGATTGTCTAGAGAAAATGTGGGAACCTCAACATCTCACAACCCTATGGGCCTCCACGGCCTGTTACAGGGATAGTTTTTCCTTTTGACCTTTAACCAAAATAATATATTACTTGGGTTTCGGAGTAAACCTATGTAGACTCTTCCCGGTAATTACCAATCAAATTGCTCCAGCTTATGTGCACACGCATGCATCCTGTTGTGTGTTAACATTTGCAAACACAGACTAATAATAATGCTAATACAGTAATATTGGTTTATTTACTGGTATACTAACGGCGATGTAATAACAGCCAGGTCGATGTAAGTATAAAAGTGAAGACTGGAGAAGCAACCAATGCTTCCCTTGCCTGCAACTCTAAAAGGAAAGGTTTGCAACATTTTCAACCCTTCAGAGTGTCAAGCTCTGTGGATGTCTGCATTAATGCGAATGGTGAAGAAAGCAAAGTACGTAAGTGCAGTTCCAAACTCTTTATGTCAGTGGGATTTGCGGTACTTAACCCAAATCCGGCTTCAGCAAGCGCTCTCCTTCCACATGACCACGTGTCAGGTAGCAGACTTCGGCGACTTCTGTATGAATATTATTGATTATTAAGAGAATACGAACAGGGTCCACTCAGCCTCGTGAGGATAATTGAGGAGCTATTTCAAGGAAATAGCGGCTCCAGTTTAGAAAACCGTAATTAACGGCCGTGGGGTTTCGTTGCGCTGACCACGCGACACCCTCTGTCCGCTAAAGTTGGCATTAAATTCGTCGACAAGCGACGGTCGCTCGGTCGGTATAGTTCGCTTGCCGACTAAAGCCAGGAAGTTTGTTGTTTGTTTATTAAGAGAATACTGTGTTGTATTTTAGCGTCCTGTTGCACTGATTCATATTCATAATGTGCATATATTAACAGTCTTCGAGTGCATACAATCCCATTTACCACTTCTACACTACATGTCTCGGCAGTATGCTGCCATCTTCAGGTGTGTCGATCCGTCAACTATTTCACTGCTTGCCTTTATATGTCCATTTACAAATAATATTAAATTTGTATATGTCCTTCATTCATTTCATTCATTCATCTGTAATCTGTCAGACGATAGGTCCACAGTCTCTTCCAAAATAATTCCTCCACTTGATGCGATCTAGAGCTTTCTCCTTCAAATGAAATTATCCTCTTCTGTCCCCAAGGTCATCCAGCATCTTCTTACGTCTTCTTCCTCGTCTTCTGGACACTTCTATCCGCCCCTCTATCTTTCCTTCAATAACTTCTTTTAGAAGGCAGTTACCGCGTAAGATATGACCAATCCAATTAGCCTTCCGTTTTCTTATTTCGTGTAGGATATTCCTCTGCTCACTGACTCTAATTAACACTTCTTCATTTCTCACATAATCGGTCCAACTGATCTTCTCCATTCTTCTCCAACACCACATTTCGAAGCTTTCCAGATGTTTCTGATCTATTGCCCTAAGTGTCCATGTTTCAGCCCCATACAGAGCTATGCTCCAAATGTAGCATTTCACTAGTTTCTTCCTCAAAGTTAAGTCCAGTTTGCTGGTAAAAATAATATAATAATAAAGTTTATGTATTTAAAACTTGTTAAAACCTATTATCTCATACGTCATATTTTAAATTCGTGTGTATTATACCTGAGTTGGAGTCTTTGTTCTCACAACGGTGACTATGAAGAAAGAAATCTTCCTTAGGTCATAATTTAATATATCGAACCCTTGGAGGTCCCTTAAGAAGGCCCCGATGCAGAATCGCTGCTGAGTGTGCTTTATAAAGCTCAATAAACGCATCAGTTTCGGATGCCGTCAACTTGCATCTCTCCTCTTGCTCTCACTTTGGAGCATTGGTCTGACTTCTCAGTTTCATTATCATTTTACAGACGGTAGGACCCCCTTTGACGGGTGATTACTTCGTCACAAGGCCGCTACCTAAACACAGGACAACATAAACAGAGAGCAAACAATGCCCGCTGGGTACCCGACACGGTCCTAATCCGGCTCTGGCCTGCTACCTGCTGGTCCATCTCCACAGACACTTCCCCTCTCCTCTCTATTGATTTCCCACGTGGCCCACTCTCCCTCCCTTTATGATCTTATAATAGCTGGATGCTTTCGACTGGTGACTCAGTCTGCAGCTACCTGCTCACGATGGTTCGTCGTTCGCGGATTTTCTACCCTGAAGATGGAGGCGACACGTTCCTGTGAAACGTCGGTTCACACAAGATCTACACAGCATCACATACCAGAAGACGGCATTCTTCACAGTTACAGACTTTAAAACCTCAAATCTCTCATGTTCACAACAGCCCACCACCGATGCCTATTATGAGCCAAAAGAATTCTGTATGTCCTCAAGACTCATTTTAATACTACCCTTCCATCTATGCCTGTGTATTGCAAATTACTTCTTTCTTTCGTGTTTTCCGTACTAAACTTCATACTCATTTCTCTTCTCTTTCATACGTGAACGTGCTCGGCCCATGTTTTATTTGACTATTCTAAGGTTATTTGGCGTGGAGTACAAATTTGAAACTCCTCATTTCGTAATATTTTCCAGGGCCCTATTACTTTATTCTTCTTAGGACCAAATATTTTAAGCAGGCAAGTAAATATAAGATCTTAGGCAAAGTAGCCCGTGTCGTTAGCCAACTAAGCACCACGCTATAAAGAGGCGTGAGAGAGTTCAACTATAGCTCCATCCATGTGGTGAGCTTCACACCTAGGCCGCTTTACACTCCCTCTGGGAAAGGACCGGCTCTAACAATGGGATAAGAACATAGGCTGAAACCGGTCTTAACACGGAGTAGAAGAGAAAAGTCTCTTGAACAGGCACATATGCTCCATTCTTGTTTCTTTTTAAGAAGAAAGGTATAAAAGGTGTGAATGTAACCTTACATTTTTATAACGAGAAAAGAAAACATTATTGTAACATATGACAAGTGAATGTTTTCATAATAAATATTCCCGCTTTCTATGACGCAAGACAAGTGTCCAGTCTTCCTCTGCTGAATACGGTAGCTGTTGCCCTCAGCTTATTGGAGAACCGCTTTCATATCAGTCGTCGGAAAGGCCGTGAAGGAGAATTGACGGTAAAACCAATGCCCTCTAGGAAAGATGTTCAATCACTCACGATGAACAAGAGAAAACGTGTACTACTTGCTAAAGTGTGTCGTTCCTACAAGGAGCACAGGGCTGTTCTCCCCAGCAGGCGTCGAGTGACACACTTCCTGCAGAGCGAGGTCGCTAGCAAACTGTCTCCGGTGCGACAGCCTGAAACTCATCTACAGAAGTTGGTGATGTTTATGAGACCTGGTATGGACATGTCGCATTCCAAACCATCTTCGAAATTCGAGATTCAAAAATTAAGATCTTCTGTGTCTATGAACAAAGCCTTAAATGCATATAGGAGCACAGACGTGTATTACTGCACACATTTTACTCCTACTCATTACAGTGAGGTGAGTTGTCACTTTCTCATTGTCCTCGAGGAATGAGCCGTTTTGAGAGGTGAGGTCCAGAATCGGTATGGACGTGAAGAGATAAATATAGTTTCCCTACCTGGATACAAATCCCGGTCATCGAGCCTGTAGTCAATCGCCTTATTGACTGAGCTATCAATAATTAATTTCAATAGGAGGTAGAAAACCGAGATTAACGGCCGCGGGGATCCGTTGCGCTGACCACGTGACAACCTCTATCCGCTAAAGCTGGAACTAAACTCGCCAACAAGAGGCGGTCGCTCGGTCGGTATAGTTCGCTTGCGGAAACAAGCCACGGAGTTTGTTTTGTTTTTGTTTTCTTTATTGTTACTGGGTTGGAGCCAGGATACGTCAGTCCATACAGAAACAGGCTATGAGCTGGATGGTTGACATTTAATTCCTGGTAGGGACAAGAGACTGTTTTCTTCTCTACAGGTTGTAAT